TTGAATGTTGGGAACTGAGTTCCTTGAAAGCTCTCCAAGTATTACTGTATGTGTTTCCAGCTGCAAAATGGGTAACAGCTGTAAAGAATACTGGTTTTGACATTTCCTATAGTACTGGCGAAGATAAAGGAGGTGAGCAGTCTATGAGATGTGAGTGATTGTCACTGTCACAGTTGCCATTCATTATGGAATGTGTTCAACACATTGCTGGCAAATAATCAATCAGCTGAAGTTTTGCCAGTGTAAGTCCTTATGTTTAGGATCACAGCTATTTGCAGTTGTGGGGCAATGACTACATGGTCCCTTGATGTGCTACATTAAGTTGGTATTCCTGTATTTGATAAATCTGTGCCTCATCAAGGCTAACCTTGAAAACATAATTCTTGGTCACTTAATGAACATATGCTAAAATAGGTGAGACTAGAAACATGGTTTAATGCTTGTGGATATGACTTCAGTTTCCTGCTTCAAATAGCTTTTGGTCTTTTCATAAATGTTATGGATTTCATATTAGGAGGGATCATGGAAGTATTTCACTTCCATGTGTCTCAGGTCTGCTATTTCCTGGGGGCTAATTACTGTGTTTATAAAACAAAGGTTTTGCTTGTATTAGTTCTTAGACCTTCTTATGAGAAGGGAGGTGAAGGACCAACTCTTGTTGCTTATTAACTATGTTTCACTACTCCTGCAATATAGGTCTTTAGCTGAATTTTCTTACCCTAATGAGTTCACTCCAAATAATTAGGTAGAATTTTTCTTTATTCTCCTCTGCCTTTCTTTCTGACTTTGCCCCTTATAATCTTTCTCCAATATTCCGCTTTCTTTCCTTTCCCCAACAAAACAAACTTTAAGACACAGTAAATACAGTATACTAAATATTTATTTACATATGAGTAGATGCAGTAAATTTCCAGAAGGCTGCAACACAAGACCGAAGTGGGTGACAATTTGGAGTTGTCCATACCATTTGTGGAAGTTCAAAACCTGTGGAGACTGTGATTAGTGATGTATTAGGCCAGGAAAAACTTGACAGTTGCTCCATCATCACATGAAGCAAATTTTGGCTGATTAGAGCTTTTTGATGTTACTTTCAATGCTGAGAGCAGTCTTCTGTATATTTATGAGCTAAAACATAGTTGAATTTGCTGATAAATACTTCTCTAAAATACTGGAGTTTTTGTCACCAGCAACTAAACAGGAACTCTCACAGATGTTTCTGTGTTTTGGGCTTATCTACGTTTAAGCACTTCCAATTTAACTCTACTGGTATGGTGATGCCTCGCACAGGATCCTAGGGATTTAGGGGCAAGGAAATGTGAAAATGAAGGAGACAAAATCCTTATTTCTCTGCTTGTATGCGTCTACATAGGAAACATCTTTTTCTAAGTGGAGGAGGAAACAAGAGCAGGACAGAGATCTCCAGTTCAGAGTGACGTAGACAAGTGAGGCATGCTCTATAAAAACTCTTGCCAACAAGAATTTAGGCTAGGTGGGTGGCTCAGACGAACGCTGTTGTGATAACTAGTTGTAAAATGGACTTCAGAAACTTTAAAGTGTAAAATGAAAGCAGAAGGGCCAAGACTCATTCTGCCTGGCTTGTGGGAGCCGGGGCGGTGGTCCCGCTTTAGCAGGTCTCCCTCTCGCCAAGGAGCGACGGGCCAGCACACCGTGGGGAGCTTCGTCTTCCCTCTCGGAAGACAGCGTAGGGACCAGCAGCTCCCGAAAAAAAACCTTACCAGCAATAACGGCCTCTGTCAGCAGCTGCGTTACAGCATTTCGTCACGTCGTGACGCCCGCGTTCAGTTCAGAGCTGAACCGTCATCCTCCTGGGGAGGAGGAAAGCGTCGGTAAGGCAAGGGAACACCAAGCTGCTCAGAAACCACAATTTAAATTGCAATACATATCAAAGCCGTTGTTCCGTCAATCTCCTGCGCCGCACCACCGTCCCGATTCGGGACGCTCTCAGCTCGGGGCTGAGGGGGAAG